AAGAATATTCACGGCGGCGACGAGCTTGTAATTGGACCAATTGCTCGCATTGATCCGAGCTTATGTAATGCGCTGCCGATCATTGGCATCCGAGGGTATCTCTACCTAAAACTAAACTACTACTAGACAAGATGGTGGAGTAATCTGCTGCTGCGGCATGGAACGAGTGAAGCGAATCGACGAAGATTATATCAAAACAACGTTCCACCTGAGTCAGCCGTTTTGCGATGCCGGAATTCTACGTGTCTATGTGAGGGACTGCCGTGCCAGGCATAATTCAAAGCTGTCGGCATGGGCTTCTTGAATTCAGCTGATTAAGACATGCCATTAGCCGGATTCTGTTTAGCAATCAGCTTATTTGCTGTCGCTCTGATGCACCGTACACCAAACATGTGTTCGGTTAATTCAGAAGTAAAGCACTGGTCAGGGAAACTAAATCTCTTCATTTCGTCACGAGTCCTGGAAAACCTGTAGGTGCGGGACAGATAGCACTTTTCAGCTGTCCCTAGCGAAAGTAAAAGATGCTATGCGAGGCAGTGGTAAACATAAACCAAGTAAAACAGCCCTAGACTATATACCAAAAAATTGGCTAATGACGCATACCAAAAGATTCACGTCGCACAGGGTGGCCGATGATAGTCAAAGCCAGTCAAAATATTCCTTAAAGGACGAATTCACGCTGGAAAAGCAACCCATTTCAAATTAACTTAGGGATGGTGAGTGGTACACGAAAGAAGGAAAAACCATGAGAAACGGCCCAGAACCCGAGAAATGGGACCCCTTCCTTGCCCGTTGATTTGAGCATTGATGCGACTCTCATCGCTGTGCCCTCTTCAACACTACGCTCTCTCACCTATCTCACGTATAGACCTGCGGCGAGTGATCAGATGATCGGTGGGCGTGCACTGGCCCACCGCGCCAAGATTGAGCCTTAATAGGTCGCCGAGGTCAACTCCTTCGGTGCCAATTGCGCTTCAGTCCGCACCCTTAGGAGGGGTCCGCAACTAGGTGAATTACTCCTTCTTCGACCTTCATTCTAATCGTGAATTCGTCCTTTAACTGGTCCAGAACCTTCACGCATTTCGTTCATCGGTGAGATATAATAATTGGAACCCTTTGCCTGGATGAATAGAGGGCTGACCTATGTACACTCTACATCGACTCACTTCGCAAGACATTGTAAAGGCTGAGTACCAAAATCTCGCTGCAATATGAGTTGAGAGCATGGCATGTTACAAAAAGGATTGATCAAAACATAAAGCATCATTTTCCACGGCAGTGTTACAAGCTCGATGCCCTAAACAACGTCATTTTTCAGGATGTAGGCTGCCTCGACAACAATCGCGTTGTTCTTACACTTGGATCGTGCTCGTATATACACGCAAATTATGTTTCAACCCCGGATAATCCAAAGAAGTTCATCTGCACTCAGGTATAAAAATCCTTCTCTTAGTCGAGTATAACAAAAAAATCCATTTTAAGGCTCATACATACCCGCACCTGCGAAAGGTTTTGGTGTCATGGTTGTGACAGAAGAAACCGAGGTGTACTTGAATGCTCTGCAAGTTTATTGAGCAGAAGTGCGATTTTCTACTCGTAAATTTTGGGGATTTTGTTCAAGGCCAGTAAGTCAAAAGTCGGGATATTTTACTGCCTCTAAAATTGGAGGGCAATCAAGAAATGTGCCGAATACTATCCGAGAAAAAATGATGAACAGTTGGTCTTCAACGATATCAAAGTGCATTTCAAAAAACAAGAAGATGTCAGTAAAGGAACCTTGATCTTTTATTTATTAGAGGTTTTATCGGATTAGGTTAAAGGTACAACTTTCTCATCCAAGGACCTATGGTTAGTTGTAAGGGTTGTCGCTACAGACTAATTTGCACAATTCGGTCACTTTCTGCAGAAAATTTCCATTCCCTCTTGACATCCCCAAAGAAGAGAAGAAGAAATGATGTTCCCTTTCTTATCTCCAAACATGCCCTATGATGCAGGTTTACGGAGCTACTATGGGTTTTCATAAATTAGTTCTGGCCGCAAATGATAGACGGCGAACGAAGAGACAAAAAATAGAGAAAGGATGAAGAGCCTGGGACCAAGCCTTGGAGAGACGAGAGACCCGGGAGATAGCGCAGAAGCGGTTTAACCCTTTCAGACCTGGGTTTTTCGTTCGGGCAAAATTTCTTTCCTAGCTATTGTTTATTACTTGTGGGCACATAAGTATCATTATGACAAAATTTGGAAGCTATTCGATCATAAACTAAGAAACTAGGAGGCTTTGAAAATTAGTCCACCTTCTTAGTTTTTGAGCTTATGTCGAAAGTGCAATTCATAGTTGCCAGGGAAAGTTTACCAGTCTTGCGGCAAACATTCAACCGAATATTTTGTATGAAGAATGGTATCTCGGCATTTTAGGGAAAAAGTAGACATTATTGGCATTGGTGGTGGGGTACCAGCGTCCGATTTACGTGTTGCACTTGTACACAAATACTTGTAATACTAACAGCAATCGACAATGAAATGGCAGGTTAAGCTCATAACTAGGAAGGGGAAGGTTGACTGTAAGCAATCCTCTAGCAGGATTAGAAAAACCATGCTGTTCCAGCGGCAATGCAAACATTTGAACTTGATGGTGGCAACTGCCACCGCCAGGGCCGAAAGGGTTAAATCGGACTGAGTTCAAGTAGTCCGTGAACCATGAAATGCACGTACTACTCTCCTTGAGCGATCTTTCTGGTGGCAATAAAGAATCGCACTAATTTGGGGCGTAATAGATACCTTACACCACCGGCCTTCTATCAGTTAGAGATTAGGTTAAGCAACACTCGCATTATGAAATGTTGAGACGCCGACTCGATTCTGAATCTTACTTTGTTTGCAGTTTGCGTTCCCATTTGAAACAAAAATTAAACTAGAAGTAACTCATCTGGAAGTATCAGTACCTGGATGTTCTCCTCACTCCTGCGTTCACTACCACTGGGTTGACTGGCCTGATCGGGGCGTACCGCCCGCCGATGCTGCTCCACTTTTCCTTCTGCATAGCTTTGCCAACATCAAGTAAGTTGTGATTTATTTATGGAAGTTGAAGAAAGAAAGAAAGAAAAGAAGTGAGTTCGAAAGGAATCTACATTAAACCGTATCGTCTAGGGACATCACTATCTGTAATACTCTTTGGTTAATTTGATTGTTGGAGGATAAAAGGTTTTTTTTTACCGACTCTTGAAACATCCTGTTCTGGGCAAGGTCAACCGTCCACTATTCGAGTGGGTCGCATTTGTGGTATTGAGAAATGGGGGAGGGTTAAAGAAGCGTGAAATGGATAAAATCGGAGGGTTCACTGCTTTAGTAGTAGAGAACATACGTATCCCTCCTCCCCCTCCCCCGCTCCGCTCGAGTGTGTAGAGTGAAAAGGTGACAGCCATATGGCGAGGGTGCTGGTTGGGGTAGGATAAGGCTTAAATGTTATTGGAGAAGCTTTCTGAGACTCACGATGGTGGTGGAGGGTGCAGGGGGGGAGGTAGTGAAATATTTGGGAAAAAGCAACACGACGGGTGACTCTGGCTCTGGATACAGTTCGACGTGTGATTCTGTTGCTGGGGCATTCCCAGCAAGGTAGCTTATATTTCCAGGTGAAATTTCAGGAGCTAGGGAATTTCAAGACAGACATACAGAGCGACAGACGACAGACAGACTGACAACAGACGAAGCGCTTTATACAGTAGTAAGTAGGATGTCGAAAAAAACGAAATGAGACAAAAGAAAACACTGTGTTCGAGAATTCGAAGGCATTATGGCCATCCTGATCTTTGGACTCTTTAAATGCAGTCAATAAGTTCCCGTCTTGTTTCAAACATCACAGAGCTGCGAGACCGAAACGGCCGAAAAGCCTAACGGCGCCTGTGCGTAAACTAGGCAATTTTGGATGAAGTCCAATGCGTTGCGTATGTCGAAGAGGTTTGTGAACACTGAGCACCAAGCCATTCATTCCAGAACACCAATAATAATACACTGCTCGGCTGGCATTGGAAGAACAGGATCGATGGTGCTGTTGGAGACCGCTATGGAAGTGTTAGCGAGGGGTGAGGTGTTGGGCGAGATGAATGGTTATCTTCAAGAGCTTCGAAAGCAGAGAAATAACAGTATTCAGGTGATATCTAGCAAAATCCTTCCACTTACTGAATGTCAGATTTGAATGTTGTTCAGACTGACCAGCAGTATTTGTACGTGCATCAAGTTCTGCTCACATTCCTTCGTAGAGCCGGATTTATACCTGAAACACTTGGACCAGCTTTGGACGCTTTCACCGCTGCCTACAATGCGGCTACCAGTGGATTCTGATTACAACATCACAAACTAATAGAACGATACCGTACAGTAATAGCTCAACAATAGTAGACGTCCGAAATGTTGCCAATGCTCTTCCGTGTGTTATTCTTCTCTTCATTACAGATATAACACTCTTGTCGTACCACATTAATTTAAATAAACGATAGGACCGTGCCGATTTTCACTTATTTTGTTGATCTTCTCAATTTACTCCAGTTAGAGGCGGATTGTGTGAAGAGCCAGCCCATCGGAAATCAAAGGGATCCTTCACGGATTCTATTTCAGCCATAAATCACTGGCTTGAGACTCATTATCCACGATAAGAATGAAAAGAACAGAAATATTGCTTTTGTTTTGGTAAAAAAATTCGAAAAATCGAAAGGGCTGCTACGCGTTCAAAGTGCCCACGGACGTCTTTCACAAATGCTGGCGACGGGGATGCTTCCACTTGGTTCTTGGAGTGCCTTCACTAGAAACTCTTTCTGGCCTTCTGCTTTATTGCATTCACATCTTACACTTCTACTCCATCCTATTCTATCGATCGATCGATTTGTCTCCGAAATCGCGCGCTTTAACCCGATTCTTTCATTGCGTCGCCTGATACGTAGCCGGCCAAACGCCAACTTCTTTCCATGCCTCGCCTTTGGCTCCGCCCGAATTACCTTCGATGTCCATAAGTGTAGTTTTTGTACGTTTGTTTCTCTTCGGAAACCGAATCTTCATGCGTGAAACTTTGTGTGCTGTTTCCAGTGATCACAACTGACACATTCATGTTGAGAAAGAATGCAAGAATTTTCCGCGAAGGATTCCTCCAAGCTACAGATGGTCTGTAATGCACGAAAGAAGAATAAACCGAGAAAAATGGCCTTGAACACGCAAAATATTGTCCCCCCTTGCCAATGATTTATGCACTGATGGAACTCTCATCTGTTGCCCTCTTCAACACTGCTGAACGGCCGAAGACTCAGACGTGGGACGACGAGGAGGGGGGGGGGTTGTACCGGGCCAATAGCGCGCCAATTGGGTCGCGGGGAAGGCCATGCTAAATTGCCAGGGGCGTACTTTGAAGCGGACTGCGTGTCGGTCTGCACCCTTGAAAGTCCGAATTCCCTCTTCTTCGATCCATCCTTATCGTGGAATCCTCCTTTAAGGGCATGTCCCACGATAAAATTGATGTTTCTCGCACACAAATAATGTATTGGTGCGAATGGGCCGGCAGTAAAGAAAAAAGGAAAAGAATCCGTCGAAAACGCTCAGGTTAAGGGCTCACTCACCTTCCTAATCGGCTGTGCTAAGGGAATGAGAGACTAAGCGCGGAGAGGAGAGTATGAGGCGAGAGAGCGCTACAGATGAGAGAGCGCCAGACAACAAGGGCGAAGAGCGTTCAACAATGAAGCTAGGTGGTGAGGAGTTGTCT